CAGACCTGGCGGGGGGGGGGGTGCAGCCACAGGCCGCTTGCCACCGCTTGCTCCCCTGCCGGGCCCAGCTGAGCGCTGCTCAGGTGGGACCGGTGGGACAGGAATTGGGGCGGGGTGCTGAGGTACATGGCCAGGGGGCGGGGCCATGGACATCCCCGCCCCCCTCCCTCGTGGCAGCCCGGCTGAGCAGGCAGCACTGAGCCAAGCACCATGGCGGGAGGGAAGGAGAAGGGGAAACCGTTTAGGCTCCATGCTCCCTGTGCAGCACGGGGAGCATGGTGCCCAAATGGCTGTTTAGGCTCCGCGGTCCCCCGAATGAGAGGCAGGAAGGGGAGGAGAAGAGAAAGAGAGATGGAGAGAGAGGCAGGGGGAGGAGGAGAGCTGAGAGAGAGGGGGGAAGGAGTAGGAAGAGAGAGAGACAGAGCAAGAGAAAACCTAAAAATCCCATTTTATGACGGGCTAATTGGCTAGTTTTAATATAAATATAAAGTTAAAATACTTGTAAATTTTGTGTAGGATACATAACGACTATGTCTACATTGGCATGATTTTCCAAAAATGCTTTTAACGGAAAAGTTTTCCGTTAAAAGCATTTTCTGAAAAATCATGTCTAGATTGGCAGTACGCTTTTCCACAAAAGCACTTTCTGCGGAAAAGCGTCCGTGGCCAATCTAGACGCGGTTTTTCGCAAAAAAGCCCCGATGGCCATTTTCGCAATCGGGGCTTTTTTGCGGAAAACAGTCCTGTGCTGTCTACACTGGCCCTTTTGCGCAAAAGTCTTTCGGAAAAAGACTTTTGCTCGAACGGGAGCAGCATAGTATTTCCGGAAAAGCACTGATGATTTTTCATGAGATCGTCCGTGCTTTTCCGGAAATTCAAGCGGCCAGTGTAGACAGCCAACTTGTTTAGTTGAAATAAAAACCAGTACAGACCATGGTTAATTAAACAGAAGAGAATTTTGTGAAAATTTCAAATAGTTTGCAAGTTTGAGACTTTGCATAAAGATATAATTATCCAAGCACCTGAAAAAAATTGACATATGTATTGATATAAAATTAATATAAATTTTGTGATTTTATTTGGGAATAAATAAATAAAATATTAACAAAATAACCCCTTTCTCTCCCCCAGAGCCTGGAACTCCCATTCCCCTGTTCTAACCCAATCTCCTCCGCTCCCCCAGAGCCAGGCCCCCCCAGACTAATGCTTCCTCCTCCCCCTATAGCCAGGCACCACCAAAATAATGTCTTCCTCCTCCCCCAGAGCCACTCCCAACCCACCCTAACATCGTGCCTATCCCCTGTGGCAAAGTCAGGAACTCCCAGAGCGCCCCTCCCCCCCGCATTTCATACTTTTATAATTCTTTACGGGGTCGCAAAAAATCTGAATCAGGCCACATGTGGCCCTCCAAACACCAGATTGACATGCCTGCTCCAAATAGTCAGGTTGCATGGAAAGGACCCTCATGAAATCGCTGCAGTGGTAGCATCTCGGGCTCAGGAGAAAGTAGGAAGCAGTCAGAGGGGGGGAGCTGCTCCTGCATGGGAGCCACTGGAGATCCAGCGTTAGCCTCTCACACCTAGAGCTTCCCTCACCCCATGTCAGACACTTACCTGTGCAGCTGAAGGGGGCGCCAGGCTGGCTGGGCGGGAGGGAGCCTGACCGGCACCTGCAGGTGTAACTGCCCAGTGTGTTGGTGCAGATGGAGTCGGGGCCGCAGGGCGATGGGTCTTGGGAACATTCGTCAATATCTGGATGGGGAAGAATCCAGACTGGCCATGTGTGACGTGCATCTAACGAAGTGGGTCTTTGCCCACGAAAGCTTATGCTCCTACATTTCAGTTAGTCTATAAGGTGCCACTGGACTTCTCGCCGCTAGGACACTAGTGTTCTAGTGCCCCAGGCTCCTCATGCTGACCCAAACCCCATAGGATCCACTGGGAATCTTTCCATGAGCCCTCCGGGCCTTTTCCATCATTCACTCTGCCTTGTGCCTGAACCGGCCCTCACCACTGCACTGCGCTGCTGGGTCAGTGATGTGCTGCTCCCCAGAACTGGATGCAAAGCCAGGTTAGCAGGGGCAGCAGTGGCCCCCTGGAATGTCGGTGCGGGTGCTGTTCTCAAAACACTCGGCTGAATGTACATGAGCCCAGCTCTGCACAACAGGGATTTCTCTCAATGGGAGGATGGGGAGAATATAGCACAAGCAGCTGGTATCGGGAACCGGGGGAGCACTGTGCCAGGAATACGGCTTCCAGCAGGTTTGCAATATGCTGTCCATCCCCAAGAGGCAGCCGTGCTAATGGCATAGGAAGTGGGGTGCGAGGCCAACTCCTTTGCCTTCCAGAAGCCTCAGTTTCCCCAGACGTGCAGGGAGACAATCCCATTTTCTATTATTGTAGGGCCACACCCTGAGGGGCGGGGCCCCACCAGCTCCCCCTGCAACCAATGGGAGTGGAGGCTACTCAGCACATGCCAGGCTCTGCTCTCCATTCACACAGCACCGCAGGAGGCTGCGGCACTGCCTTACCCCAGCCTGGGGCCCTGTCCACCCTGCAACTAAGCTGTGATTCCCCACCTGGGCAGACACACGCTCGCCGGCTCTGTCTGGGCTACAAAGCCGTGCAGCTACCGTACAGCTCAGGCTCTGCCCAGCGCACACCTGGGATCAGGGACAGGGCGGCTCTAGGGCACTGGCCCATCCGCTGCCTGCCCCCTGTGTACGCTCTGCCCTGCTAGGGGTGTGTGTGTCTCAATGAGCTGGGACTCGCATCTCCCTGCTGCACTGCAGAGGTCCCCATGTCACAGCCATACAGTAACACACCCACGCGCCTTCCTAGAGCTGGACCCAGGCGCCTGGGCCTGGCACAGAGGTTTGTGGTCTCATGGCGCCTCCCAGGAACACACTCGCCCGTTAGCTCAGGCAGCAGGGACAGTGGGACACAGGGTTTGGCGTCTTGGCTCATCAACACTCCAGCGGGCAGGGAAAAGCTGAGCAAATCCTGGATGTTTTCAGCGCAGGGAACAAACCAGGATAAAAATAGCCAGGAGGCAATTGTCCCTGAGCAACCCAAGGTGGATTTTTGGGGACTTTACACACCAAAACAAAAACACCGAACGGTTCATTAGGGATCGAACCTCACACCCTACGGTTTCCCGTTCCTTCTCGTTTGTGGCTGGTTTGCATTGGGGCCGTTGGGCTTTTCCCATTAAATCCAAACTGGGCTCAATTGCCCAAAGAAACTTCATTTTGAAACAAAAAGCACAAAAGTTTCATGTAAACCACGTCACAACGGTCACGAGGCCGGGCCCGAAGTTCCCGGCTTCGACTCCCACCCACAGCGTGTTACATGTAAGAACAGGGCCGCTGTGCCGACCGCTGGTCACGGAGTTCAGTCTAATGACTCCAGTCCAGACCATGCTCTGACTCTAAGGCAGAGAATGAGGCTCCACCGGAGGATATGAGTCTCCCGGGCCAAAGGGACTGTGGGGTTTCGCGAGCAGAGGGCCGGAGCAAGAGAGCTACATGGCAGCTGATCCTGTAGCTCTTCCTGTGGGGTGGGAAGGAGCCTCAGGTACCATCCCCATGAAATTTCTGCAGCTGTCGGGGCTTTGGAGAGTCCAAACCCCGGGTGGGCTGGCACAGCTGCTCTATACCTAGCTCTCCATAGTGGGTGACCTGGTGCCTTTCATACCCGGAGCCCCACACACATCCCCTGTATCAGACACTTACCTGTGCAGCTGAAGCGGACACCGGACTGGCTGGGTGGGAGGTATCCTGCCTGGCACATGCAGGTGTAACTGCCCAGCATGTTGCTGCAGATGGAGTTGGGGTCGCAGGGAGATGGGTCGCGGGAACATTCATCAATATCTAGGTGACAGAATCCAGGTTGGCCATGGGTGACCCGAGCACACCAGTGTCCTACTGCCCAGACGCCTCAGGCTGGCCCAAACCCCATTGGAACCAGTGAGAATCTTCCCAACAGCCCCAGGGGACTTTTTATCCGTCACTCTGCCCCGTGCATGAACCGGCTCTCACCATTGCACTGCGCTGCTGGATCAGTGACGCGCTGCTCCCCAGAACTGGATGCAAAGCCGGGCTTGCAGGGGCAGCAGTGGCCTCCTGGGAGGTGGGTGCAGGTGGCATCCTCAAGGCACATCACTGAATTCAGATGGTCCCAGCTCTACACAACAGAGCCCCCTCTCCACGAGAGGATGGGGTGGGGCAGATAATCCTGGCAGCTGGCATCGGAGGGAGCACTGTGCCAGGAATTTGACTCCCTGCAAGTTTCCACCCAGAGGCAGCAGTGCTAGCAGCCCGGGAAGTAACACTCCAGATGCCTGGGTTCCTTTCTCAGCTCTGGGAGGGGAGAGGGAGGCTTGGGAGCTGGAGCAGGGAGACGGGGGAGGGGGAGTCTGGACTCCTCGGTTCGATTGCTGGAGGAGGGGTGGGAAGATGGTGCCCTGGTCCTAGCAGGATGGTGCACCAACTGGACTGCTGGGTTCATGGGCAGCAGATGTAAGGAGCACGGGAAGGTATTTCTTCTCAGGGTCATAGTGCCACCCACTCCCTTCTTCCTACCCCTGTGCCCACCCTTCCTGCCGGCTCCCACAGCTCTCTGGGGCCTGGTGACTCTTCCATCTAGGAACTGAAAAAGGAAAATCCCTTCCAGCTTCCATACCGCTTAGCAGAACGTTTCTCTCTCTCTATGTTAAAGAAAGGTTTTCCTGCGGGATGACAGATTGACGTCATCCCATCCCTCTGGGTCCCGCCGGCCTTCTCCCTCTCTCCCCCTCTTCCCTCTCCCCTCTCCCAGCTCCAGCTCAACCTCGCTGCTCCCCCTCCATGCCAGGAATTGCTATTTCAAACCAAGACAAGACTGGCATCCCTGGGCTCTACAGACAGGGCTGGGGAGGGGGGAGGAGAGGAGCAGTGCGGGGTGGGGGACCACACCAGAGGGAGGTCTGGACGGCCCCTCCACTCCAAGCTGCTGCTCTTCCCACCACAGGAGGCTGCAGTACCCGGGAGCGCCATGTGTACACGGCACTACCTGCGCCTCACTGTGTCCCCATGGACCGGGCAGGCACCCATGCACCCGTGTTAGACCAAGGTCTGGTGTGTACTGTTGCTTGGAGATGGGAGTGAGAGAGGGGTTGGGGGAAAAGAAAGGGCCCAGGATGGAAGGAGGAGGGTAAAGGGAGAAGGAATATGGGCTGGCAGGGGGATTGGGGAGACAAGACTTCCGAGTTCTGTCCCAGGCTCTCCCACAGACTCCCCACGTGACCTTTGCCAAATCCTTTCCCTTCTGGAAGGCTCAGTTTCCCCACACTAGTCAGACTGGGTGGGAAGGACCCTCATGAAATCGCTGCAGCCATAGTGCCTGGGGCTCAGGACAAAGTAGGAAGAGGTGGGGGAGTGTGAAGCAGGGGCAGGCAGAACTGTTCTTGCAGGGGAGCCAATGGAGATCCAGCATTAGCCTCTCACACCTAGAGCTTCCCTGCACCCCACGCAGACACTTACCTGTGCAGCTGAAGGGGGCGCCAGGCTGGCTGGGTGGGAAGTAGCCTGCCCGGCACCTGCAGGTGTAACTGCCCGGTGTGTTGGTGCAGATGGAGTCGGGGCCGCAGGGAGATGGGTCTCGGGAACATTCGTCAATATCTGGATGGGGAAGAATCCAGATTGGCCATGTGTAGCGCTAGGTGTCACAGTACAGGATTTCAGTGAGGCAGCCATAGGGGGCAGAGGCGTAATTGGTCCCAAAAGTACTATATAGGGGGCCATGCAAGATGTCAAAATAGAAGCTTACTGTCTGCTAATTTCATATATGCTATTCATGTAAATGTATAATGACTGTGTGTGAAGTTATGTGTATGTACTTTGTGCGAGTATTAAATATTTCTCTGTGTGTGGTTGAGCATTGGGCAGAACTCGGTCTATAGACATGCTAATTACTGAGGCTCTGTGGGACAATAGCACTCAATGGGCCAAGGACACACCTTGGGAATGAGGAATGACACCTAAGGGCTACCAGCAGGGGACACAGGGATAGGCCACTGGCCAGGTGACCTGCTGCAGCCAAGAAGAGACCAGGAAGGAGGTATAAATTGGCCATGTGGCCGTCTCCATTTGGTACTCAGCTCAGCCCTTCATCCCAGAGGCAGCAGTGCAGGGATCGAAGAGCCGGAGAGAACTGAGAACCCATCTTAACCTAGGATGTACAACAAGGACTTCTAAGTCACCAGCTATAACATCTCTGCTAGAGCCCGCATCGAGATCTGGGAGATTCGATGCATGTAACGTAGCCACCTTACTCTCATGCTTTTCCTTATTGTAACAATAAAGCTTTAGATGGTAGATTCTAAAGGACTGGCTCCGCGTGATTTGTGGGTAAGGTCCAGAGGGTACATTGACCAGGAATCTGTGGCTGGTTTCTTGGAACCGGACAGAACTTGTTCGGGGTAGGTGAGATTGGGTTCTAAGACCCCTCACCTGTGTACGAGGCCCGGGGCCATCTGGGGCACAGTTATTGCTGGGATGTCGGAGGGGTTTTGCTTGTGAGGCTACAGGTAGGCAGCTGATGCGCGCTGTGGGACTAGTTTGTGGCCTGGTTGGGAAGGTCTCCAGTTTGGGGGCTGTAAGTAGCCCAGAATTTGAGCAATTTGCCCTGAGCGGACGCCCTCAGCTTTTCCCAGATCGGCTCGGTCCATCACACTAGGATATCAGTGTTCTACTGCCTCAGGCTCCTCACGCTGAACCAAACCCCATTACATGCAGTGGAAATCTGTCGTGGGTTTCCCGTTTCTTCTCGGTCGTGGCTGGTTTGAATTGAGTCCATTGGGCTTTTCCCATTAAATCCAAACTGGGCCCAATTTCCCAACAAAACTTCATTTTGAAACAAAAAGCCAAAATGGTTCATGTAAACCACGTCACGACGGTCACAAGGCCGGGCCCGAAGATCCCAGCTTCGACTCCCACCCACAGTGTGTTCCATATAAAAACAGGTCTGCTGTGCCAACCGCTGGCCAAGGAGTTTAGACTAATGACACCAGTCCAGTCCATGCTCTGACTCTAAGGCAGAGAATGAGGCTCCACCGGAGGATATGAGTCTCCCGGGCCAAAGGGACTGTGGGGTTTAGCGAGCAGAGGGCTGGTGCAAGAGAGCTACGTGGCAGCTGATCCTGTAGCTCTTCCGGTGGGGTGGGAAGGAACCTCCGGTACCATCCCCATGAAATCTCTGCAGCTGTCGGGACTTTGGAGAGTCAGAATCACGGGTGGGCTGGCAGAGCCGCTCCATACCTAGCTCTCCATTGTGGGGTGACCTGGTCAGCAGGCTTTAGCCTTTCATACCCGGAGCCCCACACACATCCCCCGTATAAGACACTTACCTGTGCAGCTGAAGCGGACACCAGACTTGCTGGGAGGGACGTAGCCTGCCTGGCACCTGCAGGTGTAACTGCCTGGCGTGTTGCTGCAGATGGAGTTGGGGCCACAGGGCGATGGGTCTCGGGAACATTCATCAATATCTAGGTGACAGAATCCAGGTTGGCCATGTGTGACCCGAGCACACGAGTGTCCTACTGCCCCAGACGCCTCACGCTGACACAAACCCCATTGGACCCAGTGAGAATCTTCCCAACAGCCCCAGGGGCCTTTTGCATCCGTCACTCTGCCCCGTGCATGAACCGGCTCTCACCACTGCCCTGCGCTGCTGGGTCAGTGACACGCTGCTCCCCAGAACTGGATGCAAAGCCGGGCTTGCTGGGGCAGCAGTGGCCCCCCGGGAGGTGGGTGCAGGTGGCATTCTCAAGGCACAATACTGAATTCAGATGGGCCCAGCTCTACACAACAGAGCCCCCTCTCCACGAGAGGATGGGGTGGGGCAGATAATCCCGGCAGCTGGCATCAGAGGGAGCACTGTGCCAGGAATTTGGCTCCCTGCAAGTTTCCGCCCAGAGCCAGTGGTGCTAGCAGCCCGGGAAGTAACACCCCAGACGCCTGAGTTCCCTTCTCAGCTTTGTGAGGAGATAGGGAGGCTTGGGAGCTGGAGCAGGGAGACGGGGGAGGGGGAGTCTGGACTCCTCGGTTCGATTGCTGGAGGAGGGGTGGGAAGATGGTGCCCTGGTCCTAGCAGGATGGTGCACAAGCTGGACTGCTGGGGTCATGGGCAGCAGGTGTAAGGGGCAAGGGAAGGTATTTCTTCTTAGGGTCATAGTACCCACCCACTCCTTTCTTCCACACACTGTGCCCACCCTTCCTGCCGGCTCCCACAGCTCTCTGGGGCCTGGTGACACTTCCATCTAGGAACTAAAAAAGGAAAATCCCTTCCAGCTTCCATACCGCTTAGCAGAACGTTTCTCTCTCTCTATGTTAAAGAAAGGTTTTCCTGCGGGATGACAGATTGACGTCATCCCATCCCTCTGGGTCCCGCCGGCCTTCTCCCTCTCTCCCCCTCTTCTCTCTCCCCTCTCGATGGCGGTAAACCTCATTTCACGAGGAAGAACGCCTTCTTTCGAAAGTTCCTCTTTCAAAAGAAGGTGTTCTTCAATGTAAAGAGGCCGTCTTTGAAAGAGAGCATCCAGACTCGCTGGGTGCTCTCTTTCGAAAAAGCGGATTTCTCTTTCGAAAGATCCGCCTGCAGTCTAGACGCGATCTTTTGAAAGAGGCTCTTTCGAAAGAAGCCTGCAGTCTAGACATAGCCTCTATGTTAAAGAAAGGTTTTCCTGTGGGATGACAGAGTGATGTCATCCCATCCCTCTGGGTCCCGCCGGCCTTCTCCCTCTCTCCCCCTCTTCCCTCTCCCCTCTCCTAGCTCCAGCTCGACTTTGCTGCTTCCCCTCCACGCCAGGAATTTCAAACCAAGCCAAGACGGGCAGCCTGGGCTCTTCAGGTAGGGCTGGGGAGGGGAGCAGCACAGGCAGGAGCACACCAGAGACAGGTATGGGGCTGTCGAAAGTATAGCGGCCCAACTAGGGCACGGGGCAGAAGACCCCGCGGCAGCACCCTCGGACCAGAGGGGCAAAAGGGGGCACTCCGAAGACCAGGGCAACCACGGGAGAGACCCCCCCCCCCGTATGTGATGGGGAGAGAGTAGGAAACCCCTCCGCAATCGAGGTAGAGGGCGCCCCTAATGCAAAACCCCCCTCAACGACTGCTTGTTACAGGTGTGGCCAAGAGGGACATTTCCGCCAAGAGTGACCTTTTATGGACTGCACGTACGGGCAAGCCATCACTTTAGCAGCCCGGGGGCAATCCCTGGATTTCCAAAAGATTCTGGTCCACATAGAGATAGACTGTAAGAAGGTACCCGCATTAGTAGATTCGGGCAGTAGCCAGACTGTAGTGTGAACCAAGTTAGTGCAACACCCCGGTCCCGCGGGGATCCAGTCCAGATGCAGTGCATCCATGCAGATGTGAACACATACCCCACCACTTGGATTAAGATAGCGGTGAATGGGGTAGAGAGATTAGCTTGGGTGGCCTTAGCCCCATGCCTGGTGTACCCTGTGCTGCTGGGACGGGACTGGCCCGGGTTCCTTCTGGCAGTAGAAGATTGGTGCCGGCGGTGGGGGCCCAGACAGTCCGATCCCCAAGAGAGGGCCGAGGTGAGCCACCCAAAGGTGAGTTGGCAGGGGAAGGCTCAGATCTGGGGGATCTGAGGGTATGTCTACACTACGACCCTAGTTCGAACTAGGGTGGTTAATGTAGGCAACCGAAGTTGCAAATGAAGCCCGGGATTTGAATTTCCCGGCCTTCATTTGCATCTTGCCGGGCGCCGCCATTTTTAAATCCCCGCTAGTTCGGCTTCCTATTCCGAACTACCGTTACTCCTCATGGAATGAGAGAACAACGGGAAGACCCCAGCTTAACCTGGGCATGGGAACAAGGATTTGACCAATGGAGATACCCCCCAGGACACCCAGGGACCCTGGTTTGAGGTACGTGCAGAGCACCTCTATCGCATCACAAAGGGGCGGGAAGACCAGGAGGAGGTAGCCCAATTACTGGTCCTGAAGAGTCGGAGGCAGACGGTCTTAGAGATTGGACACATGAAGCCCTGGGCTGGGCACCTGAGATGGGAAAAGACACTCCAACGAATAACCGGGGGATCCGTAGGGAAGTAAAGGAGTTTTGTGAATCCTGCCTGGAGGTTCAGAGGGCAGATCTACGTCCACCCCCCAAGGCGCCGTTTGAAAGGATCGGGCTAGACCTGGTGGGACCCCTAGAAAGGTCACAAAATGGTTTCCAATATATATTAGTGGTGTGGATTACACCACCCGTTATCCAGAGGCAATCAGTGATAGCTAATGAATTAGTGATCGTTTTCTCCCGAGGCATACCCAGGGACATTTTAACAGACCAAGGGACAAATGTGTCCTCTAAATTGATGGCAGAGCTGGCCCACTTGTTAAGTGTTCGGACGATGCGAACCTCGGTTTACCATCCGCAGACAGACGGATTGGTGGAGCGATTTAACCAGACCCTGAAAGCAATGCTGCGGCGTTTTGTAAAGGAAGACCCGAAGAGCTGGGACCGGCTGTTGCCAGCCCTGTTGTTCGCAATGAGAGAGGTCCCTCAAGCCTTGACAGGTTTTTCCCCTTTTGAGCTACTATACGGGAGGAATCCCCGAGGTATACTCGATCCTTTAAAAGAATCTTGGGAGGAACCGGAGACAAGAGTTGCGGGGTCAGTGCAGTATATCTTGCAGCTACGGGAAAGGTTCCAAGAACTAGGGAGGTTCGCTAAGGAAAACCTCTTAATGGCACAAGACCAACAGGCGAAGAATTATGACCGAAGAACTAAAATGTGGGTTTTCGCACCCGGAGATAGGATTCTATTACTACTGCCCGTTGGGGAATCAAAGCTGCTAGCAAAGTGGCAGGAACTCTTTGAAGTGGTTAGACGGGTGGGCCCTGTCGATTATGAGATCCAGTTGGAGGGCAGACGTAGGAGAACCCAGATATAGCACGTGAACCTGTTGAAAAAGTGGTATCCGCAGAAGGCCTTGTTTATCATGCAGCACCTGCCTGAACCCGAGTTGGGTCCCTGGGCCAGCCAGGAGGGGCCTGAGGTGGATGTGGGGCAGGACTTAGAGGCGCAATAGCAGGGGGAAATAAGGCAGCTCCTGCAAGAATTCCCCCCGGGTGATATCAGAGACCCCCAGGTATACAAAGTGGTCTGGCCACCATATAGCAACTGTGCCAGGGCAGAAAGTTAGAGACCAAATACGCCCGTTGCCCCGTAAATTATGGGAGACATTATGGAAGCAGGTACAAAACATGCTCAAATTAGGGGTAATCAAGGAGTCAAAGAGTGAGTGGCGAAGCCCCATAGTCCTTGTTCCAAAACTCGGGGGAGGGGGGGAATACAGTTTTGCATCGATTTTAGGAAGGTGAATGTCACTTCCCGGTTTGATGCCTACCCCATGCCACGGGTAGATGAGCTGCTGGAGCGGATAGTGAGGACCTCTCATATTTCTACATTGGACTTAACAAAAGGGTATTGGCAAATATCGTTAACCCCTGCGCCCAAAGAGAAAACAGTGTTCTCAACCCGTTTCGGGCTATACCAATTCGTGATGATGCCCTTCGGGTTACATGGGGCCGCGGCAACGTTTCAACGGTTAGTGGATCGAGTCCTTCAAGGGCACAAGCTCTATGCTGCAGCCTATATAGACAATATTATAATTTATAGTGCATCCTGGGAGGACCATCTAAGGCACCTAAGGGCGGTGTTAACTTCCCTCGGGGATGCCGGCTTGACGGTTAACCCAGGCAAGTGCCACCTGGAGCAAGGAAAAGTTATCTACTTAGGATATAAAGTGGGCCGAGGAGAACTTAAGCCAGCAATAGGCAAGGCTGCAAGCCCTGAGAGACTATCATGCCCCCACAACCAAGCGCCAAATGTGCCAGTTCCTAGTGCTAGTGGGCTGTCACGTTACTGCATTTTGAGGGGAGCAGCCAGATCACTGCTTCACCCATGGGGGGGTGTTTGCCCCAAAAGTGGTATAATGGGGGCCATGTGAGATGTCGAATAGAAGCTTACTGTCTGCTGATTCTATATATGCTACTCATGTGATTGTTTAATATCTGTGTGTGAAAGTATAAGATTGTACTTTGTATGAGTACTGAATGTTTCTCTGTATGTGATTGAGCACTGGGCAGAGCTCGGCCAATGGACATGCTAATTAGCGAGGCTATGTGGAACAGTAGCACTCAATAGGCCAAGGACACACCTCAAGAATGAGGGCTGACACCTAAGGGCTGCCAGCAGGGAACACAGGGACAGGCCGCTGGCCAGGGGACCTGCTGCAGCCAAGAAGAGGCCAGGAAGGAAGTATAAATATGCCAGGTGGTCAACTCCATCTTGGTACTCAGATCTGCTCCTGACCCCAGACTCGGCTTTGCAGGGAATCAGGAGCCAGGAAGAACTGTGGACCCGTCCTAATAGGATGTGCAACAAGCACTTTTAAGCCAGCAGTTATAACATCTCTGCTAGAGCCTGCATTGAGAACTGGGAGATTTCATGTATGTAATGTATTAACCTTTAAAAACCTTACTCCCATGCTTTTCTTTATTGTAGTAATAAACCTTTAGATTGTAGATTCTAAAGGACTGGCTCAGTGTGATTTGGGGGTAAGATCCAGAGAGTAAATTGACCTGTGATCTGTGGCTGGTTTCTTGGAACCGGACAGAACTTGTTCGGGGTAAGTGAGATTGGGTTCAAAGACCCCTCACATGTATATGAGGCCCGGAGCCATCTGGGGCACGGATATTGCTGGGGTGTCGGAAGGGTTTTGCTTGTGAGGCTTCAGGCAGGCAGCTGAAGCACTCTGTGGGACTGGTGTGTGGCCTGTTTGGGAAGGTCTCCAATCTGGGACTGTGAGGGGCCTCGAATTTGAGCAATTTGCCCTGAGCGGACGCCCTCAGCTATGCCCAGACCCGGCTCTTGGGCTATTATAGACGCTTCGTTCCCCAATTTGCCACTATAGCTGCACCTTTAACCGACTTAACGAAGAACTCGCAACCATAGAAAGTGCGGTGGACGAAGGCTTGCGAAAAAGCCTTTCAGGACTTAAAAAAATGCCTCTCCCAGGCCCCGGTTCTCTCACAACCAGACTTTCACAAACTTTTTGTGTTGCAGACGGACGCCTCTGAGACAGGACTTGGAGCCGTGCTGTCGCAAGAGACCAATGGGGAAGAACACCCCATACTTTACATAAGTCACAAACTTTTTGAGAGAGAGAGGAGATACGCGACAATCGAGAAGGAGGCACTAGTGGTGAAGTGGGCAATTGAGGTCCTACGCTATTATTTGTTGGGAACCCATTTTCAGTTGGTCACGGACCGAGTCCCCCTTAAATGGATGAATTCCATGAAAGACACGAATGCGAGAATTATGTGATGGTATCTCTCCCTCCAACCCTATAGTTTTGAGGTAGCACACCACCCGGATAAGGTGCATGGAAATGCTGATTTCTTTTCCTGGGCCCTGCTAGGGGTGTGTGTGTCTGATTGAGTTGGGACTCGCACCTCCCTGCTGCACTGCAGATGTCCCCATGTCACAGTCACACAGTAACACACCCACGTGTCTTCCTAGGGCTGGACCCAGGGGCCTGGGCCTGGCACAGAGGTTTTTGGTTTCATGGCGCCTCCCAGGAACACACTCGCCCGTTAGCTCAGGCAGCAGGGACAGTGGGACACAGGATTTGGTGTCTTGACTCATCAACACTCCCGTGGGCAGGGAAAAGCTGAGCAAATCCTGGATGTTTTCAGCGCAGGGAACAAACCAGGATAAAAATAGCCAGAAGGAAATTGTCCCTGAGCAACCCAAGGTGGATTTTTGGTACTTTTCTCACCAAAACAAACACACCAAATGGTTCATCAGGGATCGAACCTCCCATGCACAGTAGCTGTGTCTATACTGGGCTACTTATTCTGGAAAATCAGCCGCTTTTCCGGAATACGCTGCAAGCTGTCTACACTGGCCCTTGAATTTCCGGAAAAGCAACGACGCTCTGCTCCCGCTCGGGCATAAGTCCTTATTCCGGAACACTGTTCCGGAAAAGGGCCAGTGTAGACAGCCCAGTAGTCTTTTCCGGAAACAAGCCCCGATCGCGAAAATGGCGATCGGGGCTCTTTTCCGGAAAAGCACGTCTACATTGGCCACAGACGCTTTTCCGGAAAAAGGGCTTTTCCGGAAAAGCAGCCTGCCAATGTAGACACTCCTTTTCCGGAAAAGCTGAAAACGGAACAGTATTCTGTTTTAAGCAGTTCCGGAAATTCATGCCAGTGTAGACACAGCCAGTGTGTTCCATATAAGAACAGGGCCGCTGTGCCGACCGCTGGCCACGGAGTTCAGTCTAATGACACCAGTCCAGTCCATGCTCTGACTCTAAGGCAGAGAATGAGGCTCCACCGGAGGATATGAGTCTCCCGGGCCAAAGGGACTGTGGGGTTTCGCGAGCAGAGGGCCGGAGCAAGAGAGCTACGTGGCAGCTGATCCTGTTGGTCTTCCTGTGGGGTGGGAAGGAATCTCAGGTACCATCCCCATGAAATCTCTGCAGCTGTTGGGGCTTTGACGAATCTGTATCCCGGGTGGGCCGGTAGAGCCACTGCGTACCGAGCTCTCCATTGTGGGGTGACTTGGACAGCAGGCATACCCAGAGCCCCACACACATCCCCCGTATAAGATGCTTACCTGTGCAGCTGAAGGGGGTGCCAGACTTGCTGGGTGGGAGGTATCCTGCCTGGCACATGCAGGTGTAACTGCCCAGCGTGTTGCTGCAGGTGGAGTTGGGGCCGCAGGGAGATGGGTCGCGGGAACATTCATCAATATCTAGGTGACAGAACCAGGTTGGCCATGTGTGACCCGAGCACACCAGTGTCCTACTGCCCCAGACCCCTCACACTGACCCAAACCTCACCGGATCTAGTGGGAATCTTCCCATCAGCCCCAGGGGCCTTTTGCATCCATCACTTTGCCCCGTGCATAAACCGGCTCTCACCATTGCGCTGCGCTACTGGGTCAGTGACACGCTGCTCCCCAGAACTGGATGCAAAGCCGGGCTTGCAGGGGCAGCAGTGGCCCCCTGGGTTGTGGGTGCAGGTGGCATCCTCAAGGCACAACACTGAATTTAGATGGGCCCAGCTCTGCACAACAGAGATTTATCTTGGCGGGAGGATGGGGCAGGGCAAATAATCCCTGCAGCTGGCATCAGAGGGAGCACCGTGCCAGGAATTTGGCTCCCTGAACGTTTCCGCCCAGAGGCAGCGGTGCTCGCGGCCTGGGAGGTGACACCCCGGACGCCTGGGTTCCCTTCTCAGCTCTGTGAGGAGAGAGGGAGGCTTGGGAGCTGGAGCAAGGAGACGGGGGAGGGGGAGTCCAGACGGGGGAGGACGAGGGAGGGTGAGGGAGAAGGAACCATGGCTCACGGGGGCGGGGAGGGAGAAGGAATATGGCCTGGCAGGGGGACTGGGGAGCCAAGACTTCCAATTTCTGCCCCCAGCTCTGCCACAGACTCCCCATGTGACCTTGCCAAATCTTTTCCCTTCTAGAAGTCTCAGTTTCCCCACACTAGTGAGGCTGGGTGGGAAGGACCTTCATGAAATTGCTGCAGCTGTAGCGCCTGGGGCTCACGACAAAGTAGGAAGAGGTGAGGGACGGGGGAGGAGGCACAGGCAGAGCTGCTCTTGTATGGGAGCCACTGAAGATAAGGGAGTTACTCACCTCGTGCAATAAGGAGTGTTCTTCGAGATGTGTGTCCCTGTGTGAGCTCCATTTTAGGTGAAGGGTCTCCCTGAGCCGCAGATCGGAGTTTTGTACAGTAGTTTCCCACGCAAGCCCAGGAGGCGTCTCGAGCCCTTCCCGCCTCCTGAGGAGCACGGCTCAACGCTCTCCCTTTCAGTTCCTCGTCTCCGCCCGAGTAATTTTGACTCCGAGCAGAGGGAAGGTAGGGAGGGTTGTGGAGCACCCATGGGGACACACATCTCAAAGAACACTCGTTACTGCACGAGGTGAGTAACTCCCTTTTCTTCTTCGAGTAGTGTCCCTGGGGGTGCTCCACTCTAGGGGTATGTCTACACTACCCCGCTAGTTCGAACTAGCGGGGGTAATGTAGTCATCCGCAATTGCAAATGAAGCCCGGGATTTGAATTTCCCAGGCTTCATTTGCATAAAGCCAACCGGTGCCATTTTTAAATGCTGGCTAGTTCGAACCCCGTGCTGCGCGGGGCATTTCCGGAAAAGCCCTTTTCCGGAAAAGCAGCCTGCCAATGTAGACGCTCCTTGTCCGGAAAGGAAATTTGTTCAGTTTGCGGAGATCCAATATAGGTCTCCAATCCCCTGTTCTTTTCTCAGTCAAGAAATAGTTTGAGTAAAACCCTCTCCCGTGGAACTCTCGGGGTATCCCTTCTATCTCTCTGTCAGGGTGCAAGCCCCCCCACCGTGCCTCAGTGTCCCCTGACTGTCCTCATTTAGCCCTTCTCAGGGCAAGTTACAGTCTGTATGCGTTGCTCATCATTGGCATTGGGCTTGTCTCAATTGCCCTGCTTACCTAGGCTGCATCATGATCCGCCTCCAAACCAGGGTTTTGTCTCCAGCCCCTAGCCAGGGGGAGTCTTAGCTGGCCCTCTCCCAGCCCTAGCTGACTACCCCCAGCTTGTCTCCCTCCTAGGAGCTCCTGCCAACCAGGCTTCTCTGTATAGCTGTCAGCTGGGCCCTCATTAGCCTAACAGCTTCAGCTGGCCTCTCTGTTCCCAGCCCCGGCTCAGGGCCTGAGTCCTGGTCTTAAAGGGCCAGTGCAGGGCAGGCGCCCTGTCACACGCTCCAATGATGAGGAGCTGATCGATCTCTTGTTTTAGAAGGGTTTCGTGAGAGTGGTCCCTGAAAAGGGACGGGGTAGGGGGAAGGGTAGGGAGGATAGAAATAAAAAGGATGGTATAGCCCACACGAATTATCTCTAGGACCCAGCGGTCCGATGTTATGGGAGGAAGGGGGCAAGCAGTGGTTGAATAGATGGCCATTTTGAGCTGGTGCTAGATCATGAGGGAAGTCTTGCAGGCCCTCGACCAAACATTCAAATTTGCTGCTTAGATGGTTGAGTAGCCGGTGGGTGGGCTTGGTTGGGTCGCCTTCTGCGACCTTGCTGTCTTGGTCTGGTGTCTTCATAAGGCCTCTGTGGTCGACTGTATTGCCCATATCGGTGTCGATTATATGAATTATATGGGGTGTGTCGCCTGCGTTTATAGGGTGGCATGTATATGCCTAAGGTGCGAAGTGTGGACTTCGAATTTTTGCTGTTGTGGAGTATTTCATCCATAGTGATTGCAAATAACTTTTGCTTGTCAAATGGCAAGTCTTCCACTTTGGGCTGGAGTTCGCGGGGAACTCCAGACGACTGGAGCCAAGAAGCTCTACGCATCACCACCGCTGTAGCTGTAACTCGGGCTGCAGTGTCAGCTGCATCCATTGCAGTTTGGAGAGCGGCGCGGGCGATCATATGGCCCTCATGAACTATTGACTTCAAGATGGGTCTTTTGGAGTCGGGGAGGTATGTCATTAGCTCTCCCAGTTTTGAGTAGTTGTCATAGTCGTGATTTGCTAAAAGAGCAGAGTAATTTGAGATTCTGAGTTGTAGAGTGGAAGAAGAGTAAATTTTCTTGCCAAAGGAGTCCAACTTTTTGTGGTCCTTCTCTGCGTTGCCCATCCTATATTGTGCAAGCTTCGCTCATTGTTGTGCTGAGTCCAAGACTAGTGAGTTAGGTTGTGGGTGAGTGAAGAGAAAGACTTTGTCTTTTGAGGGGATGTGATGGACCGGGCCGTGTCTGGGCACAGCTGAGGGCGTCCGCTCAGGGCGAATTGCTCAAATCCGGGGCTCCTTACAGCCCCCAGACTGGTGGCCTGTAATCAGACCCTGATTTGCCAGTAACTCATAGACACACAGGAGGCCACTGAACGGCAAAATAAGACTCTATCCCACACAGCAAGTATGTCTGGAGGTAAGAGAAAAGGAAAAAACTATGTAGCACTGTGACGGACCGGACCGTGTCTGGGCACAGCTGAGGGCGTCTGCTCAGGGCGAATTGCTCAAATCCGGGGCTCCTTACAGCCCCCAGACTGGTGGCCTTCCCAAACAGGCCACAAACCAGTCCCACCGAGCGCATCAGCTGCCTGCCTGAAGCCTCACGAGCAAAACCCCTCCGACACCCCAGCAATATCCGTGCCCCAGATGGCCCCGGGCCTCATACACAGGTGTGAAGGTCTCCAGTCTGGGGGCTGTAAGGAACCCCAAATTTGAGCAATTTGCCTTGAGCGGACACCCTCAGCTGTGCCCAGACTGGCCCGGTCTGTCACACTTTGCCTTCCAGAAGCCTCAGATGTGCAGGGAGACAATCCTGTTTTCCGGATCTGATTTCCAATTGTTGTAGAGCCACACCTTGAGGGGCAGGGCCCCGCCAGCTCCCCCTACAACCAATGGGAGTGAGCCTACTCAGCACATGGCAGGCTCTGCTCTCCATTCACACAGCACCACAAGGGGCTGCAGCACTGCCTTGCCCCAGCCTGGGGCCCTGTTGGCTCTACACCTAAACTGCGATTCCCCGCCTGGGCAGACACACGATCGCCGGCTCTGCCTGGGCTACAAAGCCGTGAAGCGACCGTACAGCTCAGGCTCTGCCCAGCGCACACCTGGGGTCAGGGACAGCGCGGCTCTAGGGCACTGGCCCATTCGCTGCCTGCCCCCTGTGTACGCTCTGTCCTGCTAGGCGGGGTGTGTCTGATTGAGCAGAGACTCGCACCTCCCTGCTGCACTGCAAATATCCCCATGTCACACCCACGCAGTAACACACCCACGCGCCTTCCCAGGGCTTGACCCAGGTGCCTGGGCCTGGCACAGAGGTTTTCGGTCTCATGGACCGTTAGCTCAGGCAGCAGGGACAGTGGGACACAGGGTTTGGCGTCTTGGCTCATCAACACTCCAGCGGGCAGGGAAAAGCTGAGCAAATCCTGGATGTTTTCAGCGCAGGGAACAAACCAGGATAAAAATAGCCAGGAGGAAATTGTCCCTGAGCAACCCAGGGTGGATTTTTAGGGACTTTTCTCACCGAAACAAACACACCAAATGGTTCATCAGGGATCGAACCTCCCACCCACAGCGTGTTCCATATAAGAACAGGGCCACTGTGCCGACCACTGGCCACAGAGTTCAGTCTAATGACACTAGTCCAGTCCATGCTCTGACTCTAAGGCAGAGAATGAGGCTCCACCGGAGGATATGAGTCTACTGGGCCAAGGGGACTGTGGGGTTTTGCGAGCAGAGGGCTGGTGCAAGAGAGCTACGTGGCAGCTGATCCTGTAGCTCTTCCTGAGGGGTGGGAAGGACCTTCAGGTACCATCCCCATAAAATCTCTGCAGCCGTCGGGGCTTTGGAGAGTCCTAATCCTGGGTGGGCCAGCAGAGCTGCTCTCCTTTCTAGGGTGACTTGGTCAGCAGGCATTAACCTTTCATACTCAGAGCCCCACACACTTCCTCAGTATAAGACGCTTACCTGTGCAGCTGAAGGGGGCGCCGGACTTACTGGGTGGGATGTGTTGCTGCAGATGGAGTTGGGGCCACAGGGCGATGGGTCTCGGGAACATTCATCAATATCTAGGTGACAGAATCCAGGTTGGCCATGTGTGACCCGAGCACACGAGTGTCCTACTGCCCCAGACGCCTCACGCTGACACAAACCCCATTGGACCCAGTGAGAATCTTCCCAACAGCCCCAGGGGCCTTTTGCATCCGTCACTCTGCCCCGTGCATGAACCGGCTCTCACCATTGCGCTGCACTGCTGGGTCAGTGACGCGCTGCTCCCCAGAACTGGATGCAAAGCCGGGCTTGCAGGGGCAGCAGTGGCCCCCTGGGATGCGGGTGCAGGTGGCATTCTCAAGGCACAACACTGAATTCAGATGGGCCCAGCTCTGCACAACAGAGCCCTCTCTCAGCGGGAGGATGGGGCGGGGCAGACAGGCCTGGCAGCTGGCATCAGAGGGAGCACCATGACAGGAATATGACTCCCTGCATGTTTCCGCCCAGAGGCAGCAGTGCTAGTGGCCCAGAAAGTAACACCCCGGACACCTGGGTTCCCTTCTCAGCTCTGGGAGGGGAGAGGGAGGCTTGGGAGCTGGAGCAGGGAGACGGGGGAGGGGGAGTCTGGACTCCTCGGTTCGATTGCTGGAGGAGGGGTGGGAAGATGGTGCCCTGGTCCTAGCAGGATGGTGCACCAACTGGACTGCTGGGTTCATGGGCAGCAGATGTAAGGAGCACGGGAAGGTATTTCTTCTCAGGGTCATAGTGCCACCCACTCCCTTCTTCCTACCCCTGTGCCCACCCTTCCTGCCGGCTCCCACAGCTCTCTGGGGCCTGGTGACACTTCCATCTAGGAACTAAAAAAGGAAAATCCCTTCCAGCTTCCATACCGCTTAGCAGAACGTTTCTCTCTCTCTCTGTTACAGAAAGGTTTTCCTGCGGGATGACAGAGTGACGTCATCCCATCCCTCTGGGTCCCCCTCTTCCCTCTCCCCTCTCCTAGCTCCAGCTCAGCCTCACTGTTTCACCTCCACACCAGGAATTGCTATTTCAAACCAAGCCAAGACGGGCAGCTCTGGGCTCTACAGACAGCTCTGGGGAGGGGAGCAGAGCAGGCGGGACCACACCAGAGGGAGGTCTGGACGGCCCCTCCACCCCAAGCTGCTGCTTTCCCCACAACAGGAGGCTGCAGTACCTGCGTCTCACTGCGCCCCACACGGGGCGGGCAGGCACCCATGCACCCTGGTTGGGTGTGTACTGTTGCTTGGAGATGAGGTAAGGGAGGGGTTGGGAGAAAAGAAAGGGTCCGGGCTGGCATAGGGGATGGCGAGGGAGAAGGAACCATGGCTCGCGGTGGGGGGAGGGAGAAGGAATACGGGCTGGCAGGGGGATTGGGGAGACAAGACTTCCGAGTTCTGTCCCCAGCTCTGCCACAGACTCCCCACGTGACCTTTGCCAAATCCTTTCCCTTCTAGAAGGCTCAGTTTCCCCACACTAGTCAGGCTGGGTGGGAAGGACCCTCATGAAATCACGGCAGCCATAGGGCCTGGGGCTCAGGACAAAGTAGTAAGAGGAGGGGGAGGGTATAAGAGGGGCAGGCAGAGCTGCTCCTGCATGGGAGCCGGTGGAGATCCAGCATTAGCCTCTTACACCCAGAGATTCCCTGCATCCCACGCAGACACTTACCTGGGCAGCTGAAGGGGGCTCCAGGCTGACTGGGCGTGAGGTAGCCTGACCGGCACCTGCAGGTGTAACTGCCCGGAGTGTTGGTGCAGATGGAGTCGGGACCACAGGGCGATGGGTCTCGGGAACATTCGTTAATATCTGGATGGAGAAGAATCCAGGTTGGCCATGTGTGACCCTAGGACACCAGTGTTCTACTGCCCCGGGCTCCTCATGCTGACCCAAGTCCCATTGCAGCCAGTGGGAATCTTTCCATCAGCCACAGTGGCCTTTTCCATCGGTCACTCTGACCTGTGCCTGAACCGTCTCTCACCATTGCACTGCTCTGCTGGGTCAGTGACACGCAGCTCCCCAGAACTGGATGCAAAGCCAGGTTTGCAGGGGCAGCAGTTGGTGCAAGTGGTGTCCTCAAAACACTCGGCTGAATACCGGTGGGCCCAGCTCTGCACAACAGGGACTTCTTTTAATGGGAGGGTGGGGAGAACATATCACAAGCAGCTGGTATCGGGGGGCGGAGGGGCACCGTGCTAGGAGTATGTCTTCCAGCAGGTTTGCAATATGCTGTCCATTCCCAAGAGGCAGCCCTGCTAGTGGCCTAGGAAGCAGGATGCTAGGACACCTGGGATCTAGCGGTGAAAAGAACCGTTACTTAACTGTAACTGTTGTTCTTCCAGATGTGTTGCTCATATTCATGTGAATCAGGTGTGTGCACCACGTGCACCACGTCTTCCAGAGCGTTTTCCCTAGCAGTCCCCGTAGTGCCGGCAGGGCGCCCCCTGGACTGGTGCTGCCATGGCGGAACATAAATACCCCTGCTGGCGCTCCCTCCCACCTCAGTTCCTTCTTGCCGGATACTCTGACGAAGGGGAGGTAGGGTGGGAGTCGAATGGACACGAGCAACACATCTTGAAGAACAACAGTTACAGGTAAGTAACCGTTCTTTTCTTCTTCGAGTAGTTGCTCATGTCCATTTGAATCACGTGACATCCAACCAATCCCACTTCCCGGAGGTGCGGTTGGAGCACCCAGAAAGCGAAGTCCACAAAAGTTGAACAACTCAAACATATTTATTCAAGTAACAGAACACAGAAAACTGTAGAAAGTGCAATGTGGTACAGAAAAAACAAATGTATTTACAATACAGAGCTGAGGACCGCAGAGCCCAACCCTACAACCTCCCTAGCCTGCTGTGTCAGTGCGTAGTGCGACATAAAGGTTTGGAGAGACGACCACGTGGCTGCCCTGCAGATTTCAGTGATTGGAACCTGTGCTCCAAAAGCTACAGAGGATGCCTGTGCCCTGGTGGAATGTGCTATAACCCAGGGCGGGACCTTCCCAGCCAAGGCATAACACTCCCTGATAAACTCTGCGACCCAATTGGACAACCTCTGGGTCGATATGGGAAGCCCTTTCATTCTGTCAGCGATAGCAATAAACAATTGTGTGGATTTGTGAAAGAGATTAGTCTTATCAATATAAAAGCCTCCCCAACCCAGGACCAAGGCATCTGTTACCAATGTGAGCGAGGGGGGAACTACTCTGAACGGGACCCCGCTGCGCATCACAGCATCCTGAGTCCTCCACTGTAAGGAGGCTATCACCTCTGGGGGCACCGTGAGAACTACGTCCCGGAAACCCCTGGACTGGTTGAATGCCCTTGCTAACCAGGCCTGCAGTGGCATGGCATACCACATACGTACATGCTGCCATGTACCAAGGCATAACACTCCCTGATAAACTCTGCGACCCAATTGGACAACCTCTGGGTCGATATGGGAAGCCCTTTCATTCTGTCAGCGATAGCAATAAACAATTGTGTGGATTTGTGAAAGAGATTAGTCTTATCAATATAAAAGCCTCCCCAACCCAGGACCAAGGCATCTGTTACCAATGTGAGCGAGGGGGGAACTACTCTGAACGGGACCCCGCTGCGCATCACAGCATCCTGAGTCCTCCACTGTAAGGAGGCTATCACCTCTGGGGGCACCGTGAGAACTACGTCCCGGAAACCCCTGGACTGGTTGAATGCCCTTGCTAACCAGGCCTGCAGTGGCATGGCATACCACATACGTACATGCTGCCATGTACCCCAGCAGTCTCGAGCAGACTTGGGCGGTCGTAATGGGGAACCGGGTTAATTCAGAGATCAGCTCCACTGTAGCCAGAAACCTGTTTCTGGGGAGGAATGCTCTCGCCACCCTGGCGTCCAAGAGAGCTCCTACAAATTCGAGGTACTGCGAGGGAGTCAGCGATGACTTTTCCTTGTTTAGCATGAGCCCCAGCCTTACGAAGAGGACCCTTGTGAAGGAAACATGGGCCTCCACTTGTTCGTAGGAACGGCCGCGAATTAGCCAGTCGTCTAGGTACGGAAAGACGTGTACCCCTTTTTTACGGAGGAACGACATGCATTTCGTGAAGACCCTAGGTGCTGTCGAGAGGCCAAATGGGAGCACCGTAAATTGGAAATGATGATGAGATACAATAAAATGGAGATACCTCCTGTGGCTGGGTCTTACTTCCACATAGAAGTAGGCATTCTTGAGATCGAGAGTTGCGTACCAGACTCCTAACTGTAATATGGGGATAACAGAAGCCAGGGTTACCATTCTGAATTTGGATTTCACCACCATATTGTCGAGATCCCTCAGGTCTAAGATGGGACAAACCCCGACCTTGGGTTTTGGGACAATAAAATACCGGGAATAGAATCCCTTGCCCCTTAGGTGTGAAGGGACACTCTCTACCGCTCCCTTTTGGAGGAGCGCTAACACCGCCTGCCAGAGAGTGCCTTAGTGAGAGGTGTCCCTGAAGAGGGATGGGGTGGGCGGGTTGGAAGGAGGCGAGCCCAGAAAAGGGATAGTATAGCCATCTCTGACTATTCTCAGAACCCAGGCGTCGGAGGTGATTTCTGCCCAGGCGCAGGCAAAACAGGATAGCCTGGACCAAAACAGGGAGCCAGGGGGGAAACTGGTGTGTAACCCTCTATAGGACCGTCAAAATGGGTGTTTAGACTGTGGAGAGGGGCCCTGTCCAACCCCATAGGGGCTGTCCCCTCTCGGGCAGCGAAGACGACCCCTTGCGGATGACGGGGCTGCAGCCGTCCCCGCACCTCCACTGGGAGCACGAGGGCGGCGTCTCCAGTAATCCCCATGGGGGACCTGGGACTGTGTTCTCCCCAGCTGTTTGTAGGGGAGCTGACGATGCTGAGGAGCCAGTGTGTGGATCCCCAAGGAGCCAGAGAGTAGACCTCGTAACCTTAAGCATATGACGCCTCGAGTCAGTGTGCTCTGAGAACAGTGCTTTGCCGTCAAAAGGCAGGTC